GTCTCCTAGCAACGCGGGCAGCGCTGCCGCCATTGGCTGAGAGAAAACTCGCCTGGTTTCCTAGCAACCCGGGCAGCGCTGCCACCATTATCTGGGGGAAGCCCCGCCCCAGACGATCTCCTAGCAACCCGGGCAACGCTGCTGCCATTGGCTGGGAGAAGCTCTGCCCCCACCCTGTTTCCTAGCAACCCGTGCCGCAGTGCCAGCATTGGCTGAGCGAAGCCCCACCCCAGACGGTTTCCTAGCAACCCGGGCAGCGCTGCCGCCATTGGCCGAGCGAAGCCCCGCTCCCGCTGTCTCCTAGCAACGCCCGGGACGCCACCGGCGGTGCCGGGCAGCTGCGCTCATTTGAGGAGGAGAAGGCGAGGAGTGAGGAGATGACGAGAAGCATGGAGTTGGCGAGTAGTGAGTGAGGAGAGGGCGGCAAGCAGCATCAGGCCATGGCGAGCAGCGCCAGGACACGGCGGCCGGTCCCGCCGTCAGCTCCCAGGCGCAGCCGGAGCCAGCCCCAACAGGCTCCTCGGCACAGCTGCCCCTTGCCGTGCCCGGAGCGCCGGCACATTGACCTCAGCTGCCCGCCGCCAAGGTGAGTGGGGCTCGGCGGGCTCCGGGCATGGTGCTCATGGGCGCTCCGGAGGGCCCAGGGCCGGTCCGGGTGGGCTCCGGGGAGCAGGGAGGGGGGGGTCCGGTGTCCGGTTGAGTCGCTGTCCCTCCCGTGTGGTGCCAGGGGGTGGCAGCAGGGGGGACACGGGGGCCGCGGTGCAGTCGGGGTCACCCGTTGCACGTGAACGGGCCGTGTCCCGGTGTGGTTTCTGACAAGCATGGCAGTAGTAGTAGAGGTTAGTAACTGCGGAAGCCGGAGCGGTTCCTCGAGGTGAGGTCCAGAGAAAAAGGAGTCCTAGAAATAAATATATATATATAAAAGACGACTTTTTGGACGTACTGTGACACGACTGTGACAAACACTTTGTACAGTACTGTTTAAGACTGATTCTTCTCCTCAGCTGTATGGTTTTCTAACACACATTTTTGTCAGTTCTGCGCTTTTATCTCTTGTAGAGGATTTAGAGGTGACATTTAAATGTAGTTCTTAAATATTTAACTCTCTGGAAGAAAACTTCTCAGACATGAACTTCTGTTATCCTTTAGTTGATAACAGGTGCAGGAGCAGAGGACTGAATGAGACCAGGGGTCTGCTTTGCTCCAGAGCTTGTTTCTGACATCATGGGGTTAGAAAATCCGTGACATTTCTCCGATAACTTGCTCCTGGGGAGGCGCTGCCCAAGCCCCGGGTTGCGTTGCTCTGTGGCGCCAGCAATGAGCCCAGACCCATGCTGTGCACCGTGGTGCCCGGTGTGTCCCGTGCGCTGTCCCTGTGCCGCCCTCCTGGGCGGGAGGGGCCTTCCCCAGCAGAGAGCTCAGGGTGCTGGGGCATCTGGCTGCCTGCCTTCCAGGGGTTTAACGGGTCTTGGTTCAGGCCCAAAGCATTTCCTCATTCCCTCCAGTACCCTTCTGAACCTTTAATTTAATTCAGCATTTTTGAGGACCAGCCTGTTCATCATCTAAATGAGAAAATCATGTGCAGACTCCTTTGAAACAGAAGTTGCTACATCCCTCTGCTCAGGTGGGAGCAGCATTTTAGCTGGTTATATGGTCCATGAAATACTAGATGCAAGGAAGTAAATGAGAAGGAATTGGATCGACTTTCTCCTCAGCCACCGTATGCAGCTGCCAGGTGATACCATGAGTCCATCAGCACAGCCGATGTAATCTGGTGGTTTCAAAAGCGCATGCAAACAGTGGATTAAAAAAGTAATGTAGAAGAGTTGCTGTAGTACCAGTGTTTCATCAACGTGCATAACAGGATGAGCTAAATCGTTTGTTTGAAGTTTAATTTATTGTTGATAGGCTACCTGTGAGGTTATTGTGAAACCCCAGATCTCTTTGGTTTTTTTGATCTTTTTTAAAAAAGAAATTTCTTTTGTTGAGTACACCTTTGTGTCGGGGGAGGCAGCGGGTCTGCCGAATGCTGGACAGAGCGCAAACAGTTTCCCAGAATTGCAGAATCAACTAGGTTAGGAAGGACCTTGAAGATCATCTAGTCCAACTGTTAAAATTATAGAAACATTTCTTGTTGTCCTTGATTGCTGAGTTTGGCCTTGACCAGCTTGTTGTGTACCCCTGAGCAGCTGGAAAAGTCCCAGGGGAGCTCTGTGTCACCTGAGAAAGGAACTGAAGATAAGGAGGAAGAAGGGAAACACTGTTTGTCAGATACCCGAACAGTGGGGGATTTCAAGAAAAGTAGCCAATGAATAGACAAACAGCCACGTAACCAGTGAGACTGGTGTATGGAGAAAAGGAGCCTCTGCTCTGTGTAGCTGTGATGATTCCCCTCTGGCTGTCCAGGGATGCAGGACGTGCCTTGGGTAGAGCAGGGGAGGGTCCTGCTTGGATGGGCTGCGTGGTCTGGTTCTTCCTTTGTTGGTCTTGCAGCTTCTCACCAATAAATAGGAGAGAGATCAATTTGTTCACTTTGGATTGTTCAAGGGACGCATCAGAGAACCTTTAGCATATTGACACAGGAACTGGAAGAGACTTGGAGGCCTTGTGCTCATTTTTATTGCTCTGGATACAGAGGAGGACTTGGCACCCCTGCGCCAGGGCTCTGGGAAGGGGAGGAGCCCAGCAGAGCGTCCCGGAGTCTGCTGGGCCGAACAGCACCTCGGAGCCGTGGCAGTGCTGCCCGGTCGGTCTCTCTCAAGCCTTGGAAGCGCGCTCTGAAATCCCGGAAGGGTCTGTTATCCGGGGAGGCTGTCGTGGGGGTTGGTCTGGGAGCCCTCCAGGGCTGGGCTCTGCTGGAGCCTGTGCCTTGGCGGTGCTGCGCTGGCCGGGGCTGAGCTGCTCTGCCTGCTGTAGACGTCCCTTGTTTCTGACCGGAATCTTCCGGAGGTTGTAGGATGTTGCTTTTACATACTCTGATGGGCATTTACCTGACAAAATGTTGGGCATGATTCAACGAGACCGCATTTTGTGTGGCAAACTATTGGGCAGGTCTCTAATAATTTGGCTGTCAAGTGGCTTATATGCATCTGTGTTGCTTTTATTTCAGATTACTGGAAACCTATAGCAGTCTGAGAGACAAACACTTGGTTGGATATTTCAGCAGTGCCAGGATAAGAAATCACCTTCAGAGATCAGGACTGGTGAGACTGAAAAATTTCCTTTTCTGAGGAAAAAAAAAAAAGAATTATTTGTTTCTCTTAATATTGTGCAAGTCAAATCACTGGCAGTCCTGTTGTTCATTTGTTAGAGGTATGCGTTGTCATCGGTAAGAATTTGACCAGCCAAACACGTGCAATTCTGCTGTGCCAGATCAAAGCCACACGATCCCAGAGTTCTCCCCTACACCATATCCCCTGGCAGCATTGATTCTCTTAGGGTACTGATTCTCTTAGGTTTTTAGAATGTGACATCTAAGCGTCTTTGACTCTAATAGCTGTTTAAATAGCTTCAGGGTTATTTTTTGAAAAGGCTTTAATGAAGCTGAAGGATTTGGTAAAGGTGAATGCGCTGGACATTTTAAAATACCCTTATGCACTCTTGGGTGTGACTGTGTTTAGCACAAAGGCAGGTGTTTAACTGCCCTCTGCTGGCTTGGGCAGCAGCCCCTGGAGAGCAAGGCTGAGCCCGCAGCTTTTAGGAGATGGGACTGGGGCTCTCCTGCTCTCTTCAGCTGGCTGGTGGGGTCCATGGGGTCAAAGAAATGACAATTCTGTGCTCGGAAGTGAGTTCCAGCACCGTGGCAGAAGCAGAGGTGGTAACTAAGCAGGAAGAGAAAGCAGCCTTTCTGGGAAATTGGGCTCTGTTCAAAATCATGGCTTGTTCTGTCTTGTCCCTCTTAAGTTACATTATATTTGTTTACGGCAGATCACGAAGAGTGGAAGAATAATTCCGGAGAAGGAGTACCGGCTTAACACCCTGCGGGAAGAACATCTGCGATACGTACAGGAGTACCTGGCTGGCACAGTGTTTAATAAGGCCCTTGACACCGAGGTACGCATTCCCCAGCTCGGTGAGCCCTGTCAGGTACTCCCCCGCTGACAGCCAGGGCTCTTCACTCCTACTGGACTGTCTGGGGTAGCTGCGCCCTCGTGGTGCCCTGAAGGGCTCTGTCCTGCCGGGAAGAGGACAGTCGTTGTGCTTGACATCCCCGCGTGAAACCTCCACTGACCTCTGGTTGTTAGCCCGCCCCGCCAGCAGGGTGAGCGCTGTCCTGGCTCTCGCGCTGCCCTCCCGCGCTCGTCAGGCTGTGGGGTGATACTCACGGGGCTACTTGGCTTAAAAAAATTCTAGTCCAAACAAAGCTGTTGGAACAGGGTCATATATCTCACCTGAACACAAAATTCGGGCACGCTCCTGTTACGTATCAAGAATGGAGTTGGTCCCTACAACTTTACAGATGCTCAGTTGTTAATTGCTGATGTTAATTTGCAGAGGTGTCATGCAGATGGTTGAACCAACAGGGGCTTTGTCATAGGGCTCGGTGAGGGTAACGGCCGGGGAGCACCAGGTGATAAGCTGAGCAGAAGCAAGGGTTATTACCTTCACTGACATCTCATAGTGTCCACTGACGAGGTTTCTCTCTTACTTTGACAGCGTCATC